TTTTTTTTGTTTGTTTTTGTATGTTGAAGTTTTATACACTAGGTTACAAAATAAAATGCTTGAGAATTTCAGTTGTGTATCTCTAATTCTTCCATTTGCTTTTTATGRTAGTATAAATAATAAAAGTGGTTAATGCTGCATAAACCCCTCTAGGCCTCTCTTTAGTCCATCAAGCTSCTTCAAAATAGAGGAGAACAATCTTCTGTTATTTTCAAGTGGGTAGGGTTGGCAGGAAATCTGCCGTTGAGGAGTCTGGAAGAGAATTTACTTGTATAAATACATACTTAACTGAATTGAGACTTTTTTATTTTTTTAGAAGGAGCTTCAGAGGAAGAAATAAGAGTATCTTTGGTACATCTGGTTACTCACTTGCAGATAAGTGTTCAAATTGTGTAGTTCACAAGTTAGGATGGTGATTTTAATGGCTTTAAAATATGTCATGGGAGAATGGCCATCTTAAAAAAAAAAAATAAAGTAAAATTGGAATTCTCCAGGAAGTTGCACTTGAGTGTGAYTAAGTGTGCTGGGAGGGAGTGAATGGAGAGGGAATAGCAGTGATCAGACTGAAGATAGCAGGAATACAGAGGGGAAAAGTGCAAGATAAGGGACAAATGGGGCTGGAGGGGAAGAGCTGCTGATGGTTCTTGGMAATGGTGCATGGAGGATTCCTCCCACAGGGCTGATGGGGGAAGGCAGGAACTAACCTGTGTGCCATGTCCTGTTTGGTCCAATTGCAGCATTTTAAATGGATTATTATTTAATCTTTGACTCTTCTCTTATCCTAGGTGGGTGACAGATTGGGAGACACAGTAGAGAAGAGTTTTCATACCTAACTGTGAAAAGACTTGATCAATGAATGTCCTCTAGGCATCCAGCCTGAAAGGCAGGAGGGTTTTTTTTTTTTTTCTTTTTCCCTTTGTGATGTGAAGGGAAAAAAGAAACCCCACAGCCTAAGCTGGGTGGAATGCTTGTGATTTTGCTGCTGGAATTCATTTAAGTCAAAAATATATCTATGTTATAAATAATTCAGATCATAAATTATTCAGACTTTTTATGTTTGGTAGAGAGTGGAACAGAACTGCAAAAGCATAAGTTTGGGAGTTTTGCTCTTTTATTAATAATTCCTAACTTGAAAACATAGAAATCACCCTTCTGTTTCTTTCCATATTTATGCAGGTTAATYCCTTACACTTAAACATCAGTTTTCTTTTTCTCCTTTTCCAAACTAATTCAGCAATCTGCTCCAGCAGAGAAGGCCAGTCRGTGTTTAATACTTCCTGAAGGAGTTAATAACAAAATTTTTGCCACTTAATTCAGAAGTCAGAAATGGAGAGGATGGTCTAGATGTTTTTACAAAAGAAGCTTGGATATTCAAGTGTTCCAGAATGGTTTGTGTATTTTTTATTTAAGTACATGACAGCTAATTGCTGCTGCTGTTGTCTTTCCCCATCCAGCTGTTGAGTTTTACCAAGAATTTCACCCCTAAAGGAACTTTTGTTTGACYTTTGGGAACTTCCCACACTGCCTTGTTCCATTCTTTTTCCCAAAGAAATACATTTTATTTAAAAAATCAGGATCATACTGTAAAATTATAGGAGTTGTTAACCTTGGAGTGCTCCTCTGTTGTTGCTGATTTTTCTGTCTCCCCGGGCTGAGTGTTTTGAAATAACATCATTACATTACCATCCATCTGCCTGGAGCAGAACCCAGCATTGATTCTGCTCTTTGTGACCCAGCACGGGGCTGAATCTCAAATTATTTTTAGCATTCATATTTTTACCTCTCTTCCATGAGTTGCAGACTGTCCATGGCAGCAGCAGGACTGGTTTTAGTGGAACACAYGCCTGATATTCCAGGATTACTGGACCTGCTGGTTTCCAGTAGCCAGTGGCCCACAGTCAGCACAGTACCCCACTGTCCCTTCTACCTGTCCCTACAGTGTGAAAAAGCCTTTTTATATTTGATTTTGCACCTTTGGTCAATGTTTGGTTGACTGTCCTCATCCTAGCATCACGTGGAGCAAGCCTGTTCTGCCTGGTTTATTTTACAAAGCTAATACTTATGTTTTGGGKTTTTTTTTCCCCTAAGATACTCACTGTTCTCTAGTTTAAATCAGACTTKAAGGCATCCTTGAAAGCTAGCAGGTAACTAAATTATCTTTTTCTAGAGAGGCTCTAAATCACGTTAGAAAATTACCTCCTGATAGATGACAAAGGCACTTGCCTGCCCAGGTCCCTGAAAACATAGGTCAGTGTCATAATTGCTTTCTTAACGGTACCATGGTGTCTAATGATCTCAGGCAGGATTAAATCATGGGAATAATGCTGCACAGTGCTGGAAAAATAATTAGATTAGCTCTGCTTGGGTGACTTTGAGATGGCCTGAGTGAGGCAGTAATGCAGTTACCTTACCTACAAGTGATGGATCTGCTGTGGGTGGTGTAAGGAAGTTGCTGTTCCCAGGGGACTTGGCAGCACTCAAGTTTTCCTTAGTTTACAGCAGAGCCAGGCCAGCTCTTGTATTCACCCYTGCCTGGGACTGTGCTGATGGCATACTTGGCACACGTAGCTGTCACCCAAGTCACACCAATCCCRGCAAAACCAGGAGAAAATGAAGTGGGAGAGGCTGGGAAAGCTTTGCTGGCTGTTGCCAAGGTGACTGGTTTTGTGCTGGACAAACACTGCTGTGCTTTTATCGCCCTGTGGCATTTCGAGTGGAACCAGACAAACTCCTGAAAACAAGTGGGACAGGGGTGAAAGGAAGAGGCAAAGCAGAGTCTGACACTTGGGAGTGAGTGGTGTCTGTGGGCAGAGGGGCGACCCTGGGATCTCTCTTCCCTGGCTCTCTGCRCCCCTCGGAGGCAGCTGGCTACCAGGAATGCTGTTTCCAAATGCTTCCTTGCCGTGTGCAATCCTGGTGATTTGTGTGAAAGAAAGAACTTGGAATACAGTGAGAATCTGAGGAGAAACATCTTCCACTATGGTGTGATTTAATTAAGGTCGCTTAACTATCCCTGTAATCATGCTGGGCTGGAGCTGGGATTTCAGCTCCATCATATTTAGAGTTTGGTTTTGGGTTGTTTTWTTAYTTTTACTTTTTCCAGACCTTTCATTCCCTCTGAGGTGTCGCTACGCTGACTAAGCTGACAACTCTTCAAGTCTCTTGGGGTGTTTAATCCTTGCTGTGAAGGCCTGGGGTGAGGTGGCAGCCCCGGGAGGTGTTGGGTTGGGAAGGCTCCTGCCTGGGCTGGCTGAGGGCTCTCCAGGGACCAGCAGAGGGCAAAGCTGCTCCAGCTGTCCGGGRCTGGAGCACAAACAGTGCCGGGGACAGCTGGGCTGTCCACATGTCTCGATGGGTTACCCCGATGAAGCTCTATACTTTTATTTTGGGAAAGAAGAACTGTCCATTTCTCCTACTCCCTGAATAATGTATGGAGCAGATACTCCATACATTTTTTGCCTCTGTGTCTTATGCAGTTTTCTTCTTTGGTTTGGATTGTTTTCCCCCCACCATGGCTGGTGCTTCTGTTTGCCTTGTTGCACACTGAAACATGGTTCTATTAGGAAAATTGGCTTTTTGTTACCTGGTGCTTTGTATAGTGTTGATTTGATGAGTATTTTGGGATTAGAGCTGCTCCCTCAGATCTTGCCCATCATRTCTGGTGCCTCAGTAGGTAAATTCTTGCAAGGTTTAGCCTAGAAAGCCTTTTCCATGAGCACAAAGTGTACTTGACGTGTTGGTTCAGGTCTGCGTATGCACCAAAGTAATTTTTGATGTAGAAGCAAAACTGTGGAATAAACACAGTCTCTTGAAAAAATTAAAACAAGAAGGAATTATTTTCCCTTTTCTTATTGTTTCACATGATCTTCCTTTTCCTTTACTGTCTTCTTTTATGCCTATTCCTTCTCTCTTYGCCACTGGMTGCCAGTAAAGGCGAACCCCTTTCTCTCCAATTCTCTCATCACCAGCATGTCTGAAACTCTCCTGCTCTGCTCTTTTTGCCACACTCTTACACTGATGGAAAAACCAGAGCAACATGATTAGAATCGAGGCAAACTATTTCAAACTGTTTGTGTACTCAAACATGCAGCTGTGTAGCCTATTTGGGTTTAGGCTGCAGCTATACATGTATTTTATAGCCACCTCTTTGCCTCAGTACAACTATATATAGGTACAACTGCWGTGGAGAGCGGGTCATCCGCAGCTTCCAGCAGGGAGATGCAYGCAGAGACACTTTGCAGCTTTTAAGCCTGAATTTGGCACCATCTCCCCTGTTTCAGGTGTCCTGATTACCACTCCTGTGCTGTRTTTTCTATCCCATTTGTTGTCCAAGTCTTTTACCATGGGCATGTTGCTTGTTGCTGAATTGGAATCTTGTCTTTAGTCTCCAACTGTCTTGCTTTGTTGGYTGGGAATTCCATGTTTATTTTGTCCTGAATTATGTGTATATAATTATATRTGTATGTATGTTTATAATTGCTTTTGTTGTGCATAAGCAACCATGTTAAGGTAATTCAAATGGATTAAAGCAACTGGTAGTTGAATGGTGCATGCAGAAAAGAGCCCTTCGTTGGGGTTCTTCCTGAGTTTTATTGGAAAGGGGTGGCTGGAGCTTTGACAGTGTTGGAAATATGGCTGTGAAAACTAACACTAAGTGGGGTCACATGGTGTGTGGAGAGGATAACTTGGCCTTTGGATATGAGGTGGCACTCTCTGGGGGAAAAAGAGCTATCGTTGAAGCTGTGGTAGGCGAGACAGGGAGAAGGGGAGTGTTTATGTAACAGTTCTGCTGGCATCTTGCACTGGCAAGAAACAGCTTGCCCAGAAAATGTTCTCTCTTTCCACTATCCTGGTGGGAAGGCTGCTGGATGGCAGACAGTGTGTCCTGCTGTGTGGGCAAGTGTTCATCAACTTGTTTC